GGACTGGAACTTTGATGCCCAAGTTTGGAAGGTTGTCGTTTACAAGAGATTTTATTCGGCTCACTCGATAATGAATAGCTTCTGATCGTTTGCTATCCATTCAATAGACTGAATTTGTAATATTTTTCTTCCTATCACTTTATCATGAACCCGATCCCTTGGTTTGTGTGCTCAGTGGTTTGTTCCCTGGCGATCTGTATTTCAGCCTCAAACGGGTTATTGTCTACCAGGGATAACTTTAGTGTTTTCTTTTTTCTTGACCTTCCTGGGAGAGTACCGTTCTGATACCATCTTCTTCTCTATCTTGTGTGTTGTAAACTTCAGTTTCTTTGTCAATTACCAATGTTCCAAAAATTTCTAGGTTCATACGAAATTCTAGATCTGTATTATTGTCCTTGAATTGACTTGCTTCTTCGGCATCTACGTTTGCTTGGTCGACGATGTTGTCTTGGACCTTTGGTCTTCCTCCACTTCTGCTGTGTTTTGCGATGTCACCCTTTCTTCCACTGTTTTTACATGATTTTTCTCTAGCTTTTTTGAATGGTTGCCTGCAATTTTCACACTTCTAAATTTCTGATATGTTTAGGGTTAGTTCTTTTTAAAAAATGATAATCATGCTCGTGAAATATGCATCTTGGTTATTTAGGTACTTCTGGTAGATTCAGGATCCTTTTTCATGGACGAGTACACAAGGTTTCAGGAGTTGAAGATTTGATACAGAGTTTTTTTGTATCTTCACCTTTCTCAAGTTTGTTATAAGGACTTCCATCGCCACTTCTGCCTCTAGTTCTCCCCAACTACAGTTTTTTGCCAGTTCTGTCATGGTTTTATGGAATTTTCTAAACTTTCGTTATCTTTTTTGACTCTACCGAAAAACTTAAAACGCTCCTGTTAAAGTTTTGCTCCTGATACGAAAGTTGTTTTGAGCACCTGCCAGAATTTCGCGAAGTTTATATCAAGGATTTTTTTTGCTGGATTTTTATGGCAAAACAATTTGGACCCTCTCTGCCTAATGCTAGATAAAGCTGAGATGTGATCTTTTTGTCGACGTCTCCGATTGTAGTCTGTTAAACTTGTTGATGTCTTCTAGTCTGCGTCTTTTTACTTCTTCGGTACAATTCTTTAGCAGTGCTGTATATCTCGCCTCTCTGTATATCTCGCCTCTCTAATAGAAGCGTACTTTGGTTCGCGTTCTGGTAGGTTGATGATATTGTCATTTTCTACGGAATCTTTTGCTATAATTGTGAGGTGGAACTTTTCTGCCAATTTTTTCCAATCTTGAGGGATTTTATTTGATGGATGATTCCAGAAGAATTCCAATTCTCGCAAATTTAAATCAGTTGACTGCGCCATGTAAAGAAATCCTCTTTTGGGTCCTAGTTAGACAACTAAGAAACGGTGGTCAAAGTAGAGGTGAGAGATAAAAGGGTTAGATAAAACTACTCCAAAATAATTGTTTAAGTTAAACTAAAACGGAGTTAAAAGCTAAGTTGAATTAAAAAGGTCTGATCGTTCTGAAACAAGGCTAACATATGAAAAGGGTCATCCAGAAGCTACATCGCTTTTGTCAGGTACTTGATTAGTAAGTTGTCAGAGCCGTCGCACACAATGGTTGTATATCAGAACTGAAAACAGTGAATCAATGTGATCATGACTTATAGATGCTTCACAAAACCCCTTGAAAGCTTATTCAATATAATTCTAACTCCTGATCACCGGTGGGGATAAAATAAACAAAAGAAGATTTAGTAAAATACATGACAGAAAGATAAAATCTTAGCACCAAAGGTGGTGATAGAAGAAGCTGACTTGATACTAGCACTCGTGCAGCTATAACCAACAACAGTGCTAAAACTAAAACGACCAATAAATACGACTAAATTTCAGCAGAAATAAGCAATGATTTTCCATGATAGCAGGTCAGGATCCGTTAAAATACGGGTTGTTTTACTAAAAGTAGGTAAATGAACCCTGCGAGTTATTACCTGTCCCATAAAATCAGAAAAATGAACTAGCTTCACGATTCCTGGGTTGGATTAAAGAAGTGTACAAAGCGATATTTACCTAAAGGTATTAGATTTAAGAATTTTCAGTTGAGGAGGGTCAAGGATTTCAAGCAAGAAGGTAAGTAGCAGTTTCAACTTTCACCCTTTCCACGTTTTCACCCTTTACAAAATTCTAAAGAAATTTGAAACAATCAGAACTTCATAAGTGGAAAACCCCTCTGTGGGCTTTTTCTTGTTCGTTTTCATTTGAAATCAGTGATGACTTTTGTTTTCATTATTCGCCTTTTGAATTTCAATTTCCTAACTTGCTGATTTTTCGAGGTAGTTTTTATGTAGACAAATAAGATAGAGCAGGCTTGAATGTGTGCATAGTCGGCTGCTCTAAATTCAAACAAGAATGCTATAAGTTAAACCTGATCACGCACATGCCGTGTTCTCAATTGCTGTTTTTTTTGCAGAGCTGGGAAAAAATTACTTCTGATCATTTTTAGCTTTTTACTTACAAAATGAGAAATAGTTTGTGCTCAGTTTTTGTGGTTTTAGTCTTTGCAGTTGGCTTGTTTGAAGGCTTCAAAGTTCAAGTACGCGCACCTGGTTGTAGAGAACCGTTTTCTGAAGTGGAGGAGATTCCTGGAAAATGTTTTCATCTCAGTGACAAGAACTTTTTTGAGATGAAACGAGCCAGAAAATACTGTACAAAAAAGTGAGTTGCTTGTTCGCTCAGGACTTATCGAACTTTTTGTGACTCTTTTGCTTATAAGTCAAATAGTCAAAAATATAATACTCAATACACTTTCGTTTTTCATAGAGCTGCAACCACTAGAAGGTTATCAAAATGATCAATCACTCGATTCCTAACGAGGCATCTCTGTGGTGTCTGATTTTGAGGAAAAGTACGCTCGAATCCTAAAATACTTTGGATCCTCCGTTGGTTTTCTACAGTCGCGAATGGATTCTTTTTTTTGTTCATGCGTTGGATAAATACTTCCATTTTTCAATTGTTGTTTTGTATAAAATTAACGCTTTCCGAAAAAAAAACATGAACGCCCTCCTCCATTTCTGAGGAGGGATTTGGTTGCAAAAAATCACCATTTTCCTCAGTTGTTTTTGGCGAACGGTTCGCAAACTTAAGTTGGGCATATGAATCATGCTAATCTTTTACGTCCACTTTAACCCGCTTATTGTTTTCATTAAAATACGTTTTTTGCTCAGGGCTCTGCAACTAAACTGGCATTACCCATCAGTAGCTTCATTTTGAAATGGGGAAAGCTGCAAGCGAATAGATCGAAATCAAGTCAGTAGAGAGCGTCCGGTTGCTTTGCAAATTGCACGGAAAGACCAGATTAGAAAGATAAACAAGATTTGTTTTTGTTCCGACTTTCGATACGAAAGTAACGGAATATTTGTGCTCGGGGTGGGTTTTTTTTTCTTCAGACAAATTTCGACTTTTTAACTAGCTATTTTTGACGGAATTTTTTTATATCATTCAAAAGGTATTGTTGTCCTGAGCTTAAATTTGAAAAGATATTTCACCTATGATCATTTTTCGTAAAGTTATGAGGGTTTAAAGATTGCCATTTTGGCCATTTTGACCAATTTGGGACAATTAACGCGCGATATAGTTCGCGCTATTAACGCGTAAGCGGAGATTTAATCCGTCTTATAAATCGTTCCAAATTGGTTGAACGAAGCTTATTTGCCATAATTGATGTGTTACAAGGAACAAAAACTATCTTTTTCTACTTTATATGGCGTGTGGGGGGATGATTTTAATAAAAAATTTCAAATTTTAGAAAAAAAAATTTCATTTTATTTTATTTCATATAATGTTTTTATGTTATTACTGCTGCTCCATAAACCTTCAAAAGCAGTCGGAACATTCAGGGCTTCGCCCTGATAAGAGCAGTCTTGTTTATTTTCAAACTGTTTCGTTTTATTTTTGAGAAGTGATGAGAAGATTTCAACAAAAGAATACAACTTCTCAATTGTATCAATCAATCAATCAATTAGGGGTATTTGATGACCGTCTTTTTTTTCAAAAATTGAATAGAAAAACAAACAAGACTGCTCGTATCAGGGCGAAGCCCTGAATGTTCCGACTGCCTTTTAAGGTTTATGGAGCAGTAATAAAATTCAAAAATTAAATGAAATTTAAATGAAAAAAATGAACAAAAATTTTTTCTAAAATTTTTTATGAAAACCATCCCCCCACACGCCATGTACAGTACAAATAATCTAATTTGCTCCTTGTAGCAAACCAATTATGACAAATAGGCTTCTTTCAACCAATTTGGAACGATTTCTAAGACGGATTAACTCTCCGCTTACGCGTTAATAGCGCGAAATATATCGCGCGTTAATTGTCCCAAATTGGCCAAAATGGCAATCTTTAAACCCCCGTAATCTTACGAAAAATGATCACAGGTGAAATATCTTTTCAAATTTGAGCTCAGGACAACAATACCTTTCGAATGATATAAAATTCCGTCAAAAATTGCTAGTTAAAAAGTCGAAATTTGTCTGAAGAAAAAAAAACCACCCGAGCACAAATATTCCGTTACTTTCGAAATCACCTTAGAAAACGGATTCAAGAAATTATATCAATAGGGCGCTTAACGAAGCAATGAAATATGGTATTTCTAAAGTATTACTAAACTGTCATGGCTTAAATGAAAACTTGTTGCCCTATTGCCAGCCTGCTCGAAATTATGCTGCTCGGAAATCTCGGAGTTTTACTCGCATCACGATAAACACGAAAATTGGACGCTCAAACGAAAACAAAGCCAACATCCGAGCTGTTCAGATCAGATTTATTAGGCCAAAAAATAAGATTTCAAAAGATCTCTGAGAAGATTCAGCCCAGGCAAAAAGTTAAGATCTCAAAGGATCGTTGAGAATTTCTCAAACCGCCGACATCATTTCAACTGAGAAGAGAAGACCGTGGGGACTTTTCCATGTCTCCTCATTTTGTTTTAATCTTTTAGGAAAGCAACCATGTTTGGGCCCAAGAGTGTAGATGATCTCAAAGCAATCCACAAAGCATTCGAGGACACTCTTGGCAAAGCACCCTACTGGACAGGGTATGCAAAATTGAACACAATTGTTCACGATGACGATGAGTGCATCCCACTTGACACCGAGGAGTTCCGGAGCATCAAGGATCACTCACTGATGCCAGAGGGAATATGGACCGAAACGGGATAGTTTTCAGTTTTGAACTTAACGAGCTATCAAAAAATATATGAGCTAAAATAATTGGCACAGAACTAAATCTATGTCATCACTCCATTTTGAAAAATATCATCATAATCAAAACTTTGAAAAGTTTGTCAAATCTGAATCTCAAGGCTCTTGATGATTTCACTAAAAAAAATTATTTATCCAGTTTTTGATAAAGACAGAATAAAAATTTCAGCATAAACCATTTTTGCATGTAAAATAGTTTTATAGGTTTTTGAAAGTTTCTAAACTGAAAAAAAACACTTTGAAGGGACCTAGCCTTGAAAAATCGAGTGGAAAATATTGCGTGAAAGGCAAAAGAGGAGGCGGACTGAAGGACGAAAAATGCAATGCAGATGACAGTTTCAAGGTCATCTGTCAGCATGATTTTAGAGAGGGCGATGGTGATGAAGATGACGATGATAGCAGTAATGGTGATGACAATAATGACAATGGAGATGGTGATAACGATGATGACGATGATTCTAACAGTGGCGATGATTCTAACAGTGGCGATGATTCTAACAGTGGCGATGATTCTAAAGGTGATGATGATTCTAACAGTGACAATGACTCTAAAAGTGACGATGATGATGACAATGACAGCGCCGGAAAAAAATCATCGCCTGATGAATCTAAAAAAGCAGACAGTGCTGATGATGGCCTACCATGCTGAAAACTTCGAACACCATGCTCAAACTCCGAATATCATACACAATAAGAACAATTTAGTCATCAACAACTGAAATTATATTCTTGCGCTTGATTCATTTCATAAAAAAGAGCTCAAACTTGGATTCCAACTTCAATTTTGGATTTTTTTCTGCTTCAATTAGTTCTAAAAATGTTTCCCATATGCCAAGTAAAGTACACATGTAGTAATGGAAAATAATCCGTAAGGAAATAACTCGTTTCAGGGCGACACTTCGAATGTTCCGACTTTTCTTCACTGTCTATGAAATATGTTCCATAAAATGAATGACAAAAATTTAGAAAGAAGGAAATTTCAAAAATTTGATTTTTAAAACGCAATCTCTTAAACGTTATTTCAAGTACCAAGTTGGAAAGCATAGCAATCTCTTATTGACTGCGCAACTAAAATGACTTTAACCTTATGTAACCTTTAATTGCGTTTACTACCTCTATTGGCGTTTAGTTTGCTTAGTTATTGTTCCGACTTTCGATACGAAAGTAACGGAATATTTGTGCTCGGGGTGGGTTTTTTTTTCTTCAGACGAATTTCGACTTTTTAACTAGCCATTTTTGACAAAGTTTTTTTATATCATTCAAAAGGTATTGTTGTCCTGAGCTTAAATTTGAAAAGATATTTCACCTGTGATCTTTTTTTGTAAAGTTACGAGGGTTTAAAGATTGCCATTTTGGCCATTTTGACCAATTTGGGACAATTAACGCGCAATATAATTAGCGCTATTAACGCGTAAGCGGAGATTTAATCCGTCTTATAAATTGTTCCAAATTGGTTGAACGAAGCTTATTTGCCATAATTGATTTGTTACAAGGAACGAAATCTATCTTTTTGTACTTTATGTGGCGTGTGGGGGGATGATTTTCATAAAAAATTTCAAATAAAAAAAAATTTCATTTTATTTTATTTCATTTAATTTTTTTAATGTATTACTGCTGCTCAATAAACCTTAAAAGGCAGTCGGAACATTCAGGGCTTCGCTTGTTATTGTTGTAGTATCACAACTTTTAACCTTAATTCTCTAGTTCTCTAGCTGACAGATTGATAAGAGAAAATTTTACATGCCGCAGTTTCATGAAGCAAAACTATAAGGATTGAAATTTTTTGAACCACTTGATAAACGAAAATTATAAGAATATTCTGTTATTACTGCTCCACAGGCCTTAAAAGGCAGTTTGAACATTCAGGGCTTCGCCCTGACACGAGCAGTTTTGCTTTTTTTCTATCCAGTTATCCCAGTTCTGTAACTTTCGTTTGCCTACCAAAAAGTCTACCAATACGAAATCATTAAGATTTCCTTCTAACTTAGAACAAACAGTGCACAAGACTTCTCGTATCAGGGCGAAGCCCTGAATGTTCCGACTGCCTTTTAAGGTTTATGGAGCAGCAGTAATAACATAAAACATTAAATGACATAAAATAAAATGAACTTTTTTTTTAATTTGAAATTTTTTATGAAATACATCACCCCACACGCCTTATGAAGTACAAAAAGATTGATTTCGTTCCTTGTAACAAATCAATTATTGCAAATAAGCTTCGTTCAACCAATTTGGAACGATTTATAAGACGGATTAAATCTCCGCTTACGCGTTATTAGCGCGAATTATATCGCGCGTTAATTGTTCCAAATTGGTCAAATTGGCAATCTTTAAACCCTCATTACTTTACGTAATATGATCACAGGTAAAATATCTTTTCAAATTTAAGCTCAGGACAACAATGGCTTCCGAATGATTTACAAAAGTTCCGTCAAAAATGGCTAGTTAAAATGTCGAAATTTGTCGGAAGAAAAAAAAACCCACCCCGAGCACAAATAATCCGTTACTTTCGTATCGAAAGTCGGAACAATAACGAGAATGCTTCACAGCGAAATGACCGTCAGGAAAGATATACAGCCTTGCTGAGCAGCTAATATGAAAAAAGAAGAAGGGAAAAGATGAGCAAAATTTAATGAACGCCAAATAGAAGATTTAAGCAAAAAACTCAAATCTTCATATTGTCTCATCTTAGGAAAGGAATGAAAAAATTGTTTCGCTCAGAAAAAAGCAAGATAAAAAACATTGATATTGATTTTGCCAAAATCTGGGATTTTCCAAAAATGTTTTTGGATCCGGAATAAACCCTACATATGAACGTTCTAGTCTTCAGCAGACATTACGATTACAGAAAGTCATAGAAAAAATCAACGAACTATTTACAGATTTGGCTCAAAATTGTCCAAAGTTTGCTGTCTAGAGAATCTAGAAGCATGAATAACATGACAAACAGAGAAAGGCAGAGCAAACTTTGTAATGATGAACTCATAATGTAATAGTTCGGAAAAATATCGATATCAATTTTGCCGAAATCTGGGATCGTTTAAAATTCATGTTCAGAGCCGGCACAAACCTTACTACACTCGAACATTTTAGTTCGTCAGCAGATATCAAGATTACAAAAAGTCAAAGAAAAAATCAACGAACTGCTTACAGATATGGTTCAAAATTGCAGTACACAGAATTGGCCAAAGTTTGCTATTCATTAGGATCTAGAAGCAATACTAACATGAAGAATATAAAAAGGCGCAAAACAACTTTTTCTAATGATCAACTCACATCCCAAAACATCTTTTGGCATATGTAAAACTTCACACGAAGGGAAGCAAAGATGCATTAATATTATGTAAAAACCCCAGTGGCATACGATTCGAACAAAACTTTCCAAGCATAGAATACACCAACTTAAGAATATTTGAAAATCAGCAACGCACAAATTGTGGTCAACATTTCAAAAAACACATCTACAATAGCTTTCCACAAAAGAAGGGCTATGCAAAACTTCTTGCTGAAGAGGATACTTTGCTAAACACTGTATAAGTGGGGAATGAACAAATATTTAGACAAAAGTAATTGAAAAGTCAAATACTAAACCAGAATCTAAGACTCAAACCTAATCTTAGTGTATCGTCAGGCTAGATTGTTGTAGAATCACGAAATTGATGACGAACTAGAAGTGAACCAAAAATGTGAACAAGAAGTGAAAACAAATTTCAGATGTTGTATGTGCAGTTCGAATCAAAAAAAATATCTGAGCTTTTTTCCGCATGAGTCCGAGAAGTAAAAAAGACCTTACAGGTCCAATTCACAAAAAAAAACATTCTCTCTGAGTTAGAACCGATTTAACAAGCAAGGTTCCATTTAAGGGAAAAATCACTTTCTCGCGAACTGAAATTGAAATTCTATTTTTTTTCAAAATCTAACCTGTGGATCAAATTAGAAAAAAGGCAATCAAACACTCGTCAGTTCAATCAAGTTGTTAGGACGACAATTTTTGCTCAGAACACGATCATATTTGTTGAAGCTGAATTTCAGAAATTAGCCTGAATAACAGAGGTGGCAAAAAAAACCTACTAGGGAACGACATGTTATCATAATTAGATAAAAAACAGATATCACAACTTTGGGCTCGAACATTAAACCGTACCAGCGAAGTATGTCATGTACCAATCAGCAACACTGCGAAGTTAGGGTCTGTGAATACCAACTACTGAAAGATGGACGCATCGAGAGACTATCAAGATGCTCAAAAAACTCCTTCAGTAGTCCAATAGTAGTCACTGCAAAGACAAATGGGTCAGTCCCACTAGCCCTAAATTTCAAATTTACCTTAACAGTTATCACTTGCGGAAATTTTTCGAATCTCTACATAATATAGCATCAGCAAGAGACAAAATGGACACAAATTCTATCTGGTTCTCTTCTATCGATCCAAATTTTCCTTCAGCCAAGAAGCTGTCTCTTGTATAGCTCACAACTATTGTGTTTTTAACAAAGTCGGATGAAATTTTATAGGGTTGTATCGCTTTGAAACTGAGTTATGTGGATTGGACGATATGACTAATAATGCCTCGGTGTATAATGCATAAGCCGTCTACCCTCTGTCGTTTCGACGGCTTACAAAATGTACAATCTTAAATCGTTTTCTCAACTTGAAAAACATGCTAGTTTCTAATCCAAAAAACCAAAAAAAATTAATCGAAGTTTGAAAAATGACAAGTTTGACGTGGAACCAAATCATGTGTTCACAAAACTTTTGCAACAAGAAATTTAATGGAACCGTAGTCGAGAATGGCGAAAATTTTGCATTGACAATCGTTCATAAAAGCACCCGTGCAAATGTAAACAGAAGTTCCAAAAGATAGAAAATCATGAAAATCTTTCGACTAGAAAAGAGTCGGCCTCGTTAAAAATCACGAATCTTTTTTACGGCCTGGGCACGCCAGTGGAGCAAGATCACTCTAACAAATCGAAAACTTCAGCTTTCTTTACATTTTTTAGCGAAACTAAAATACAGCAGCACCGAACTAAAGCTGTTGGGCCTAGTTTTAGCTTCATATCAAATTGAAAGTTCCTACTAATGTTGTAATTATATTGATCATTTAAGAAACGGGAGGAAATTTGTGTTGAGCTTACACTTTTTGTACTTTTTTTAATTTCACGCGAAATCAGGTTCAAAAAAAGTGATCGGACTGGGTTGAGTGATAAACCATCTTGAAATTTTTCTCAATCGCGATTTGAAACATTACGAGGCCAAACTGTGCATTCTCTGCATTGTAAGCGGAATCCGCAACAGGCCAAAATCAGTTTTGGCGCGGAATCCGCAACATCGCTACTTTTCTTTGATCTTCTATGCTGTTTTGCATTCCACAAACAAATACCTAAATCATTGTACCGCTCAAAATTGCTCCAAAAATATGCGAATTTGCGGAATCCGCAACAGTACTTGTGGAATCCAGAACGGTTTGTGGAATCCACAAACAAATAACAAAACATTTGTATCGTTAAATTGAGCTGTTGCGGAATCCGCAACTGTAAGTGGAATCCGCAAATTGTAAGTTGAATCCGCAAATTGTAAGTGGAATCCGCAAATTGTAAGTGGAAGCCCCAAATTGTAAGTGGAATTCGCATTTTATTGCGGATTCCATTTAC